ACCACAGCCATTCGGAATGCAGGTTCATCAATAGAAGAATGAGCAAGAACTCATGTGTTACTTCTTTGAATAGATGTTTTATTACAATAATACGATTTATAATAATAATAATAATAATTGTTTTATTTGTTTTGGACGTATTACCCCCTAAAAATGGAGATATATAAAATAATAAAATAAATATAAATAATAATTATTAATTTTATTTTTCATCCAATGAAACTGTGTATATATATATATAGGTTCTTTTATTTATTATACATTATTGTTTATGAAAATCAAAGACTGTTGTCTGTTGACATATGTGAATTTATTTCATTTGTTTTTTATAATGTTTAAATATTTATGTACAAAAAAGTTTTTAAACAGAAACAATGAAATTTGTAGGTAAATACTTACATTTTTTATTGTTTCCTGGTAACTGAACTAAGTAGAAAATCGTATTTTAGCAAAGCACGAAGAATGTCACCAGCAATCAATTCAACTCAGATAAGTTTGTTACCTTTTTATACAGTTTTTAAAAATATAAATAGTGATAAAGTTTTTTTTGGTTGACAACCAAATTTATTTTTATTTAAATTTATTTATTCAGATAACAGAGATCCAATTTGTTAGTAACAATTGTACTTAGCCTATGTTAGTATATCTAAAATTACATATTATCATTTAAAGGCCCCCGTAACAATTTGGGTCCAGAAACAAAGTATTGGGCTGTCAAATTTATTGCACAGCATTTTCAGAATGCTGTTACTGCTGCCCCGCAGTCTGTGCAATAGAGAAGCGATCCGTTTGCGTCTGATGGCATACAGGTCGTCTGTTGATGCTCCTGCAAACATTGTGGATGCACTACAAAAACGCGGCAAACGCAACAACATTCTGAAAACATTATTGTATTGAACTCGCAGAGCGCTGTATGCCTGCTGTGTATAGTTAACCCACAAGCTGATCGTGTAGAAAGATAAGCTTTAAATGATGTTATTTTTACTTCAGTCGAACAGCGAGCGAACCTGCGAGACAACATATTACCCCTTACAGCCAACGCTCTGCGTTCACGTTCAATATCAGCGTTATCTTTCAGGTCGTCGGTAATAATATGTCCTAAATATTTAAATTTGGCTACTCTATTAATAGGCACACCATACAACATAATTGGTGGAATTGTAGGATTTTTACCACCTAAACCGAAAAACATAAATTCGCTTTTATTTGTGTTATATTTCAAGCCATGTTTCATGGTATACTGCTCACAAACATTTAACATTTTACGTAGCGCACTAATCGATGGACTCAGCAGCACCATGTCGTCAGCATAACTCAGATTATTAACGGCAATTCCATCTATGTAACAGCCAGCATGCATACTGCTAAGTTCAGCGATCAGGCTATTAATGTACACATTAAAAAGTGTGGGTGAGGATATACCACCTTGTCTCACCCCACACTCCAGTTTGTACTCATCTGAAAAACAATCCGCCCATTTAATAATGTTAATTTGGTTATCATACCAGTACTTAAATATTGTAACAAGTTCACTGGAAATATTTTGTCTCTGAAGCTTCTCCCACAGGATCTCATAAGATACCATATCAAAAGCTTTAGATAAATCCAAATAACAAGCTATTACAGGTGTTTTACGGTCTAAATAATACTTGACAGTGTGCTTCAAACAGTATATAGCAGTTTCAGTAGAAAGGCCAGGCTTAAAACCAAACTGAGCCTCATGTATACTAAGACTATTTCTCAGATGCGAGTTTAATAGACTGTCAAATATTTTCGCCAAGATAGTAGCTAGTGAAATAGGGCGATAATTATTTTTTTCACATATATTACTTGCCGTACTCTTTACGACTGGTACAACAATAGTTCTCATGAGTTCCTGTGGTAGATAGCCATGGCCTAGGCACAGAGAATAAAACATAGCCAGTACTCTGGGCAGATGACAGCCTGCATTTTGAAGATGTTCAATACTTAAACCGTCATGACCAGGTGATTTGCCCCTTTCCATATTATTTATTATATTTTTGACATCTTTAGAGGTAACATGTATATTTCGATGTGAAACCCCAGAAAAAATATTATTTTCCACGGTTGATGGCGAAGGCAAGGATAACAAAGGCGAACTTAACTGAAAGTGATGTTTAAACAAGTTGGCAATTGTTTGTGGATCTTTTTCAGAATCAATATGCTCTGCAACTCTTAGTTTTATATTTTGTTTATTTGTACATACATTTTGTTTATTTAATCTACAAAGTCTTATTTATTTTAAAACCAGCTTTTGCTCGCGGCTTCGCTGGCATTAATTTATCCCTTTAGGGGTGGAATTTATCAAAATCTTTCTTAGCCTACGTCAAAATATGACTATTCAAAAGTGCTTGTAATGAGTTTATTTGAATAAAGATTATTTCTATTTCTATTTCTATTTCATAGTAGCTTTATGCAAGCAAAGTCTCCCGATCAGTTTAAAATGGACAAAGTTTCATATAAATTTTTATCCCATATTTTATACTCTTGGGGGTAGAATTAATTAAAATCTTAGCGGATGCCTACGTCATAACATCTACCTGCATGCCAAATTTCAGCCCGATCCGTCCAGTGGTTTGGGCTGTGCGTTGATAGATCACTATGTTAGTCACCTTTGAGTTATATATATTTAGATAGAAGACTACGCGTATCTGTACGCTTAATTTTTATTTATTTACATAAGTGTATAGTTATTTATTGTTTTAAACTTATGTCCACGCATGTGCAACCTACTTTATTTTTAGTGACATTCTATTTCCTCAGGTTATCTGGTAGAGATTACGTTAGTGATAACACTGCCTTTGGTACGGGCTTCTTTCTTCAATCTTTTGTTTCATTATTCACTAGCTTTTAAACGCGGCTTTGCTCGGATTGACTCCATATAATAACTACATTACAGGCTGCTAGATGGCGCTGAAGTAGCAAAATGTATCTACATATTTTCTTTTATTTTTGTTTTTTATTAAAAAATTTTTGTTTAGTAAAAAGTATCCTGTGTTCATTCTAATACCTTCAAGAACATGAGCACAATTTAATGAAATTTATCATTATGATGATCGGTTAATTAGTATTTGCGTAAAAGCGTAACAAACTTCCCTACTTTACTACTACATTTATAATATTAAGTAAGGATTGTATCTACTGTTAGTAAAATATAAATGTAATTGTAAATTGGACTCTATTCTCCGCAATCAGTTTCTAGGTCATTGTGCGTGTAGAGCCGAGACTAAAGTAGCTATCCAAGTTCTTCCCAGAAGCGCAGAAGTTTCCTGGTGTCTTCACAGGTTTCGCGGAGTGAAGTTTGTTATTATAGATGGATGTTTGTTATTCTTTCTTCTTCTCACGCAAAAACTACTGAACGGTGTTTTGTTGAAACTTTACAGTAGCTTATACATCAGAATTAAATGTAGGCTATAAATTTCATGCGAGTAAAACCGCGGATTCAGTTAGTAAATAAATAAAACTTTTAATTCTGTTGTTGCCTTTATATATATATTAGATGTTAATAGGGGTGCAGGCATACGGCAGGGCTCCCCCGTATTTTAATCCGTTAACTGTAACTGCCCTTATTCGTTCAAAACCCGCGATAAATCTTATGCAGCAGTTGTTTTTTTAATTTTTTTATTGAGAAAGTTGTTCTATTTATGAATAAGCATTAACACAGGATTTCTAAACTGTATATATGGTTGAAGGTATTTGTCCGATGGTCTGAAGACTACCAGAGCTTTTAAGCTCGGCTTATGCCGTCGTAATTTCGATCCGCGTTTGGCAAAATAAATAATAATATCAAAATTATCAAACAGGTATGTTGCTGGAAGCTTGTCGACCATTCTTTTTGTAAACTTTGTATTTTATATCTGTTTTTATATATCACTTTTGACTGTTTGTTACCACTTCGCTGTGAGCCCTTGCCCTTGTGAGTGGTGAGAATCGTTGTATTCTCACTCCAGTTACAAGGTGATTAATAAGTTGCTAAAGTCTATGTCGTAAACTAAAATAAACTATTTGAAAAGAATACGAGCTGAGTTTCTCTACAGTTTTTCTCATCTCGAAATCATTCCGAACGGACGGTAGATTTGATATATCATAAGAGTTTGTAATATATATATGAATGAAGATATTTTATATATCTTCATTCATATATCATATTTAAATTTGAAATGGATCAAATGAAATCAAAAATAATTGATTAATGCAGAATATTATAGCCGCTTATGAATATCACTAGACGGTCAATCACTCTGAGACTATTATTATTTTTAAAACTAATTTCAATATATTTACGCATTCTATATATTTTTTTCTGATTGAAAATTTGATTGATCTGAAATTGCCGTCTGGGTGATTGATATTTTGAGCGACACATACATAAATGGGAATAGCAATATTGAAGCTGAAAATTTCAATAAGAAAACTTAACGACCTCAGTGGTATAGTAGTAGAATGTATCAAACATTATCTTATGGGTTCGATTCTCGTACAACAGAAATAATTATGACATAATCTGTGTACTAGGTGTGTCTGTACTCATATTCTAATACGTATTTATCAATACAATATATATGTACAGCAAAGTAGACATTACATATATGTAATAAAATATTCACAAATCTAAAATTATCTGTTTGTCTGTATATATGTTAAGGTTTTATGTAAAAAGGAATTAGGATGAAATTTTCATAGAATATGTAGATAAATGTGGGTAAACATAGAGACTAAAAAATGTTAAAAAACATGAAATATTTATAAATTAGCATTATATTTCTTATTAATTTTAAATAGGTCATGACCCCATGTATTAATTATTATATACATATAAACCTTCCTCTTGAATCACTCTATCTATTAAAAAAAACTGCTCCAAAATCCGTTGCGTAGTTTTAAAGATTTAACACACGTAGTCACGGACAGACAGTGATAGCTTCTTCGTTTGTAAAATAGATAAAATAAAAGTGAGAACAACGTCATTATGGCTCTACCTTCACCAGCGCCTGTGACTGTATGTATGAGAAGCACCACAACGCACAGACATCGCTGGCTCTCCGCCGACATCGCTGTCGCGGGTTCAGTACCTGGAATTAAAAAAATTTGGTTATCGATAGGTATCTTTACATATATATGTAATGATAATATTAGTAATCTTTTAAGAACAAAACATTTTTATAGTTATGATATTACGGCGAACATCACATCGGACATGCAAACCTATATTGTGTGATTAGGAGGATGTAAACTGATAATGTATTATATATTGAAGGATAAAGTCATATGCCACAACATTTGTCATATCGCTGATTAAATGCCAAAGGGCAACAACGCAAAAAATATGAAACTATTTTTCTCTCATAAATGGCATCTAACATTTTTGAAAAAAAAATAGTTTCGTGTTTTTTTTTGCGTTATGGCCCTTTGGCATTTAATCAGCGATATATTTGTCATATAAAATAATACTTTTAAAAGATAGCTAGAAAGGAAACGAGAGAGAAAAATAAAGAAAGTAAAATAAAAAATAATGAATGTAATAGAGAAAGGAAAGAAGAATGAATAAGGAATATAAACAATACAATAATTGAGATAAACACAAAAAAAATGAAATACAAATAAATTTACATTACCGTAGTACATAAGGCTAACATTACATATATTAGACTTAGTACCAAAAGGAAATTGGTACATATATGAACATCAATATTTACCAATTATCTCATATATTATGTATGTTAAAGTATTTATAATCCATAAAATAGTATTGTTTGCATGCAGCGCCAATAGATGGCGCTGTAACAAAATTGAAACTCGCTAACGTTTCGTTTTGTAGAAAGTCCATATGTATTTTACTTTATACCATTTTTTGTACCTGTATTTGAAACCGACCAATAAACCTTATATACACGAGTGTAGTGTTTTGGTTTATAGTACCCTTAGGACCTTGTGGTTTTAACAATGTATATGTATACATGAGCCAATTTCCTTTTAAACATCATTACATAGTATAAAACAAAGTCGATGTCAGCGGTTTTTTTTAACATATAGAGTAATTCAAGAGGAAGGTTCCTATGTATTATACATGTACACTCGTGCGAAGCCGGGGTGGTAGCTAGTTTCTAATAAAATAGAGTCCATATTCTATTTTATAAATTCACATATTTTTATTGTGATTTCTTCTCTTTTCTCACGCAATTAAAACAATTTTTCATTTTATTTCTATTGTTACTAAGTAATTCCTTATTATAATTTTTGTAAACATAATTTTATACTGTTTGGAAGAATATTTATACTAAGTATTTTAGTTGTAACCTATTATATCAGTTTGTGTTTATAAATTATTAGTTTTATAGTCGCGAATAATCAGCTAATGACGTAATACATCATTAAATTATGAAAACTGTGAAAAAATTATATGTATGACTACAAATAAAAAAAGAAAAAATATATATTTGTAAGTTTTTATTTATTTATTTATTTCAGGCTACTAAGCACATATTATAAATACCTTATAAACTAACATACATATGAAATAATATAAAATTAAGATATTGAAATTGTCTGTGTGATCACGGCACTGACGGCGGCAATCTGCCACGGTAGCGCCGGTACACCACACTTCGGCCAGTAGTCCTCCTTCATGAAGGTGGACAATTTTTATTTATTTATTTATTTAATTCAGGCTACATGGCCCATATTATAAATACCTTATAGACTAACATACATAAGAAATAATAAACAAATATGTAAAATAAAATTGTCTCTATGGTCACGGCACTGACGATGGCCAGTAGTCCTCCTTCATAGTCCTCCTTCAAAGTGAACAATGCGCGAACGCTGATCTCGCGTTGTGGCTCGATTCCAGTACAATGCGCGTGATATCGTGATAGCGTTGCCATTAGAAGACTAAGATGTCATGTCTCTTATCGTGTAATTTCAACTCCGTACAATCCAAGCAAATTGTATTTATATTCAATATAAATGCAATTGTATTTTTTTTTTCAATAATATTCACTATAAATGTCTAATTTAGTGTTGAAATTATAAGGACAAATTAGAGAGAGACTTTTTTTAATAAATCCTCATTATAATTGACAACCTTGGTGGTGTAGCGGTTTAGTTACTTCCGATGGTCGCGGGTTCGATTCCTTGCACAGTACAAACACTTGTATTCATTAGTATGATTCTTTGTATCGGTCTGTGTGTTTTCTATGTATATTATGTATCTATTTCCAAAAAGAAATATCTAAATGTTTGTATCAGTTGCCGACATAAGCTCTGATTAACTTGTGACTAGATGGCGTTGTGTTAATTGTCTATGGGTATTATCATTATTTTGTTTAATCTTGTAAAAGTAATACAAATTACATATTTGAAAGATAATAAATGACAACAATAAATTAAACGATATTATACTTTTTATCTATATGCATAGAGCTTCAACTTTGGTTTCATCACGAAGTGATAATCTCTGCTAATACCTAAAATAATCATTTAGCGAGATAACAGGCGCCCGCAGTTAGTTTAGGTGGCTACTTAACATTAATTTACTTAGGATAAGCACGGACTTAGCAGGTAAGGTGCAGAATGAAATATCTTTTCAATACACTTAGGCTTAACTCAAAATTAAAGTGACCTTTTATAAGCACTTTGAAATTATTACCTTAGCTGCTTAATATTTATTAAAAAAAAGGTTAGGTATTTATGATTATTTGAAAATAGAATATCTGAGCGTTCCTACTTATTCTATTTTCAAACAGTCACAAAAGTGTAATAATAAATTATATTCTTTGCACTTTTGGATTCAGTTGTTGTCAAAAGTACGTGTGTTTAAAGTACTAATAAAATATATATCACTTTGGCTATTTGTTTCCTTTTTTTTATATTTATATTTTATACCCAAATAGGAGAGTGATATTTTTGGGTAAGTAGAGGTTTTTTATATCTATTATGATTTCAAAACAGTTGACAAGTTATATATTCATGTATATTATACATGTATTTACAAAACAAAAATATTTTAGTGTGTATATCAGTTGTATAGTACCTATAACACAAGCTCTGCTTAGCGTTGTACAAAATGGCGATGTGGGCAATGCCTAGGATTATTAATATTAGTATTCCCAATATAAATAGCATTCAAAATCCAATACAAGTAATCCTATTATTAATATTATAAATGCGGAAATGTAAGTATGGATGTTTGTTACTCTTTCACGCAAAAACTATTGAACGGATTTTGATGAAACTTTACAGTAATGTAGCTTATACATCTGAATAACATATAGGCTATTAATTTCACGCAAGGACAGATAGTAATAATATAATAATATACTTGTATTTATATTCACACAGCGTCATCTAGTCCCAAGTCTGCAAAGCTTGTATTATCGGTACTAGACAAGTAATAGACAAATACTGAGATTTTTTCTGTAAATACATATATAATATATATAGAAAATACCCAGACCAAAATCATACTCATGAATACTAATTATTTTACCATGCGAGGAATCGAATCCGCGACTATCGGACTGACCGGAGTAACATGTAGGCTATATTTTTTATTGAAATTTAACGCTGGTGAAACCGCGGGCGCAGTTAGTATTTGATATAAAGAAAGAAAGAAAGAAAGAAAGAAAGAAAGAAAGAAAGAAAGAAAGAAAGAAATAGAGAAAGAGAGAAAGAAAGAAAGAAAGAAAGAAAGAAAGAAAGAAAGAAAGAAAGAAAGAAAGAAAGAAAGAAAGAAAGAAAGAAAGAAAGAAAGAAAGAAAGAAAGAAAGAAAGAAAGAAAGAAAGAAAATTTTTAAAATTTAATTTACATTTTATATTAATAATTAGAGTACCAACTAGGTCTCCGCTCAGCATATGTCGTGACGTTAATTAAATATTACAATTGCATCAAACAATTAGTAGAGCAAACAAAAGCTGACATAATCATGCGAAACAATACACTTCAATAGAATACGAATAAAGGATTTCACGACCGGTTCTGTTTTGAGTGTACCTTTGTTACACAAATACGTTAATTAAATAATTCTCACAAACTATAAATCTAAATATAATATATATAACTCAAAGGTGACTGACTGGCATAGTGATCTATCAACGCACAGCCCAAACCACTGGATGGATCGGGCTGAAATTTGGCATGTAGGTAGATGTTATGACGTAGGCATCCGCTAAGAAAGGATTTTGATTAACTCTACCCACAAAGTGATAAAATAGGGGATGAAAGTTTATATGAAACTGCCAATTTTAAACCGACCGATCGGGCTGAGACTTTGCATGCATAAAGCTACTATGACGTAGGCATCGCCTAAGAAAGGATTTTGATAAATTCCACCCCTAAGGAGATAAATTAACGCGAGCGAAGCCGTGGGCAAAAGCTAGTATACTATATAAGTCATAACCGGGTCTCGGTGGTATAGCGGTTTAACACACCGCTTCGCATCCGATGGTCGCGGGTTCGATTCCCAGCGCAGTGAAAATGTATTCATGAGCATGTTTAGTCTATAGCTAAACAGAGCTTGTGTTATGGGTACTAGACAAATGACGATGCTTAAATGAGTTTCATTTTTACTTCAAACTCCTCCATATAAAACTAATTTTGTATCTCATTGTTTTCATTGTTTTATTCAAGCTGAAGAGGAAGTGTAAGTACATCCTATGTGGCTGTAGCCCACTCATGAATAAATGTAATATTTCCTTTGAAAAGTTTACACTCTATCCTGAGTAGATAAACTATCACAACTAAGAATATCCTTCGATTCTTGTCCCTGACGGGTCTAGGAAAACGGGCAAGCATAGTAGATCTATGCAGATCGCACTGTTACTGGTCCCTTTAGCCACCAAATAATATTCTAAACCCCCTATTAAACCCCTAAACCCCTTATTCGTCTTTGAAACTCCTTATCACTTTCTATAAGATCTACACAATCCCTTTCTATTTTCAAAAAATTAGTAAGATCTCTCATCATAGCGCTACAGGTACGTGACAATAGTCCAAACGTCTGATTAAAAAAAAATCTGTTGATTCAAAAAATAATAATAAACTCCGATACGAT